GCAAATAATACATTTTAAAATGGTGACAGATGTGGCTTTTGTGCTCTGAAATGCTTTATGTAGCCCATAGGTGAAAACCTAAATTTACATGTTAAAATTTAAGGTGTGGTTAATCTTTTTAGAGAAAAGGAAGGCATTGCTTATATGCTGGTAACATATTTTTTCCAGGGCCATTTGTATAATCATTAGGCAATGGAAGAGGTAAATTTCTAATTATTATGTGTAAAATTCCAGTCTTCTTTAAAAAATTGTCTTTAAGCTGTATATTCTCCTTTCCTTTGATAGCTTCACAAGTTCTTTTCTAGTATTTAAGTAAAATGTTCACGTTGTCTACAATTTAACAGGATATATTTTATTTTGGTTTTCAAAATGCACACATAAAATTATTTTCTCTTATTCTAAAATACATTTGCAATTAGATAAATCTGGTGGTATTTTAAGTAAGAACAAATGTTTAACTTCCTTATTTTTAAGTTATTTGTATTATTTTTTAAATGTTGGGTATAATTTCAATAAATTATTAAAAATTAAATCAAATATATTTTTAAGCATTTTATAAGGGTATGGATGTTATTATTGGTTATGTAGATAAATTTTTTATTTTAATTCTCATCTCTTTCTTCATTGAAAAGAAGTACATTTTCTACAGAAAATAAGAACATAAATAACAGATATGAGGCCAGTAAAATTTCTTGTTGTTTCATCCATATAGGCTGAAAAGACTTGCATTTAATGTGTGTGTATATGTATGTGTGTGTTTGATACTTTGTAGCATTTTATTTTAATTCTGAGAAAATTAGGAAGCTTCTAACTACCACATATCTTCCATCTGTCTTTCAAGAAGATCCATTTAGAATACTTACATATTCTTATTCTCTTACTACTGATTCTGTAGTTTACAGTAATTTTGATAAATTTATTCTAAGAAGGTGAGGGAATCGATAACAGTACCTAATAAAAAGGCCAGTACTTAATAAGCACTGAAGGAATGCTGTTAGTGAACACGATATTTAGCTATACACAAGGGCAGTGTGAACTCAGTGGAAAAATGAAATAACAGCATTAAAACACAAAAAGAAAGTCTTTTGTGACTATATATAAGTGAATATCTACCTATATATCTATGTATTTGTCTATCTATTGCTCATCTATCTATCTACCTACCTGTGTATCTATCTACCTATATCTATCTCCATGTATACTTACAAAATGAGGGTGTTCTATAGACACAGGGAGAAAGGAAACCATTAGCTCAAATTAAAGTGGCTCTTTTAATAATGTTAACGGCCATAATTAGTAACCTTTACATTTGTTAGCCAGTTTCTCCTAGCATATTCTGACTCTGGAAAAAATTCCAATCAGTGATCTGAAAGAGGAAGAGAGGTCACCATGATTGTTATTCATGTCACTAGGTTTGTAGAACACAAGTAGTTAAGAACATTATAATTTTGAAAATAAATTATTTCATATTTTATATTATTTTTTTATTTGTTATTACCAAATTGAAAGTTGAAACAAGGAGCATAGGTATGGCTAAGAGAATTAAATTGTAAACTACTTAAATGATGGAAGACAAATACCATATGATCTCACTTATAAGTGGAACCTAATCAACAAAAAAAAGCAGGCGAATTATAACCACAGACAATGAAATAAAGAACAAACTGACAGGAACCAGAGGGGAGGGGGAGAGGGACAATGGGGGAAATAAGGGGAAGTGTTGTTAAGGAATATGTATAAAGGACCCATGGACAAAGTCAAAGGAGGGAAAGGTAGGATTGAGTATGGGAGGTGGGGGTAGGGGAGAGTAGTGGGAGGAAAATGGGGACAACTGTAGTTGAACAACAATTAAAAAAATAAAATAAAAAAGGGAAAATGAATAAAAATAAACAAATAAAAATTTGAAGCAGGTCATTAAATGAGAGAGTACCTAATCTCCCTAACTCATACCCCATCTCTATGCATATATATAAAGTTAGTTAATTAGACAGAATACAGATGAGAAAACATAATAATAAAGTTTACATTATAATAGTTTAGGCACTACTTGAAAAACAAAAGCTACAAAAATTTAAAGATGAGCTAGAGGGTATGGAGAGAAAAAGATTGATGCTGTAGATTGGGATTCATATCATTATATTCCTGAATTTATAGTAAACCTATCTGTATCCTACTATGACATTATTCATTGAAATTCTCTTCTGGATATAAACAGCATACTTTGAAAATGCAATTTAAAGCTAACCAGATAAAAAATGATCCTTTAAATGACTTTCCCTTAGGCTATAAATTGACTTGGGAGCCATTCTATGTACCCAAACTCCAAGTTTAGGCAAACATTTTTCAGATTCTTCTCACTTTGTCTCTTCCAGGGTCTAATAAAAGTCACTTTCATGGCATTAACTAATCAGTAATTCAGAACATGGCTTTTACTATGTGGTTTCTACAGCCCGCTGCTGACATTATCAGATAGTTATGAGGTTGTAATCCTGCACCTCCACTGATTGGTTATCATATTTTGGTAAAGCCACTTGTTTCTAAAAATAGATATAATCTTGTCAGAATTAAAATGATAATTTGTGTAAATTGCTCCATGTAATCTTACATCTGTTATTGGTCACATTACTCCCTATTTAAAATCCTCTTATGGCTCCTCAATGTATTCATAACCCAATTTCCCCTAACATGGCTGGAAGAGCATGTTTATTTGGGACTCTATAACTCTCCACCTTTAGCTCCTACCATTTTACCTTCCATATCTCCTCCCTGTAACCACACCAGATTATTTGTTGTTCTTTAATTTTTCATGCTGTTTCAGGCCTGAGTGCTTTTGCTATTCGTTTACTACTCCCATTTCAATAATGAACCTTGATTTCTCATCTTCCAGAAATTGTTTGTGCTGAACCAGGGCCCCTTCTCTGTTCTCTCACAGCTCCTTTTATATATCTCTATGGTAGTACACATAATTCAATATTGCATTTTTAACTCAAATTTTCATGTTCCTCCCACAAATCTGGACTATAAATAATGTGAAGGTAATAGCTCTTATTATTGTTGTTATCCCCAGAACCTCAGTCAAGTATGGCATGTATTAAGAGTCCTCTGAATTTTCTGCCAAATGAATAGATATTGCACTGGGTCACTGGTGAATATGGGACTTTTCTGCTAAGGAATTTCAAAATATCTTTTATATATAACATCTGAGCATAATTGAGATTTAGAGTTAAAACCAAATCAAATTTTTTTTATATTTAGATCAGAACTTATTATTTTTTTATTAGACTAGATTGCCTTGTCCAGAAGTCTCAGATGAACACAAATGACTTACTTAGATTTAGCCCTACAAGTTTTCCTGAGACTGCATTTCTAAAACGAAGTAATACTCAAAATGTCATATTTTTCAGAAGGTAGGTGAATTTCTTCATATGTGGGCCCTGGCTGGCATAGCTCAGTGGATTGAGCGTGGACTGCAAATCAAAGCATCGCAGGTTCGATTCCCAGTCAGGGCACATGCCTGGATTGCAGGCCACGGACCCCAGCAACTGCACATTGATGTTTTTCTCTCTCTCTCTTTCTCCCTCCCTTCCCTCTCTAAAAATGAAGAAATAAAATATTTTAAAAAACGTAAAAAATAAATAAAGTAAGAGAACTGAAGTTCAGGGATGCAATAAGTAAACAGATCCTTGACAGGACAATAATGTGACTTCTCCCTGGAGCAAGCTTTCCTGGAGCTGCTTCCTTGCCTTTGCACCTAGCCCAAGTCTTGACAAAAAATTTCTTATGGATCAATATTATTCATCAGCATAAAAATAACAAAACATCTGTTCTATCACTTTGAGGGAGTGACAAACTAGACAAAAACTGTGGCCTACTTAGTGGTTTTATCATTAGCCTTATTAATAATGCAAGTGAAAAGACTTGGCAAGATAACAGAATAGCTCATAGTACAGAAAACAGCCTTCAAATTTTAGCTTAGCTTCTCACCAGCTGCATGGATCTACACAAATGGCCCAACTTCTGTAGGCTTTTGTTTTCTCACAAGTAAAATTAGGAAAATAATAGTTGTCTCATTGAATGATGAAAGGTTTAAATGAGACAATACATGTAATACTTAACATCATTTCTGGTATTTATTAGAAGCTCAATAAATATTGCCTATTATTGCCATTATTCATAAAGAGTTTTATAATAAATTTTCTATTCTTGAATTCTTATAGGATTATAGGTATTTTATCAATGGTGGAAATATGATTTTATTATGATTAGGTATTTAGACATTTTCTAATCAGGAACATTGCAAGAGCCACCCATGCTATCCTTACAAAGAGAGCAGTAAGATGAATCAGAAATCTAAAAAAAAAATTCAATGGTAGAGCTGTGTTTAGAATGAAGAATGAATATGACATTTCAAGGCTTCAATTACATGATGTTGAAATACCTCACTCCCTTCATCTCCCAGTTTGGTTTTCAATGTGTTCAGACTATGAAATTAATTTCAGTTACTAATTAATTTGAATTTCTAATTAATTTGAGTAAGCTTATGCACCTATATTCAAACTTATAATGTGCATTTCAGTGGAATCTGTCTCCTGACCACTGTTTTTATTGATGTAACTGAGATAATAAGTCAAAGCTGCATAATTTTGAACTAACTGCTAAAGTCATTTGTTCATGGCCTTATTCTCTTCCAGATTTCATTAGTATCATATTATGATGCCAACACTGGTGAACAATTAGGCTAGCACCACCCACTGAGACTCTATGTTATAGTGTAAATGATGAATTCTGCATAAAGAGACATATTTGGGCTATATTACAATTGTGATAATGCAAGGCATTTCATGGAAATGTTTAATGATAACACTAAATTGTTAACTAATATGACTGTATGAATAGAATCCTGTTTGATAAGATTACTAAAAATTTGGGACATTGGATTTGTAACTATTGGAATGGCACTAAATTAACACCTTGCTTTGTGTCCTTGTGTGAACACTTACTTTCATCTCCTGTTTCAAATTCAAACTTCTGACTGTAGCCACTGTATCCTGTTGTAGTCCTCACTCGGATATGAAATATGTACTTGGTGGCTGGCTTGAGACCTGTGATGATGACACTGGGGGCCTTGGACCTTGTGGAGGAATAGGTGAGCTGCTCATGTTCCTGGGGACAGAAAAGAAGAAAATGGAAATGAAGCAGAGTTATTCTACTTTTTCCTAGAGACTTTCCAAAGTTAAGCTGAGAAATTATGCCCAGAATATCAAAAAGTATAGATTAAAAGGAAGTGTAAGCATGGTTTTCCATAATTTATCATTTAGTTATCATTAGGATGCATATGATAATGATCTTGATTTGGAAATTTAAGATGGTTAATCTTATATGAACTGCATTGTATTTTTGGTGATTTGGATTTCTGATCCCACTCTGAGGAATGGTGGTGGTGTAAGAGCATGTTTGCACAGAATGGCGGCTGCATCTTGAGCAAAATGCACACATCGGATCAGACCACACCAGGAGGGAGCAAGGAGTAAAGGTGGGAAAGTTGAAGTACCCGCTACTCACTTCTACCCGCAGGTAGTGCCAAAATGCCGGCGCTATCCGTGGGTAGACCTGTGGGTGAAAGGAAGAGTAAATTAATTGTTTTTTAAAGTTTGAAATCTTTTATCCTGGACTAATTGCTTGGTTCAGAAACTCAGTGATTCTCCAGTAGTAACAACTCAAGTTTAGTCAGGTGAAAACATATAACAATAAAAATTTGAGAGACAATTGATCCTGTCCCAGATAACACAGTTTATTCTTACAGATGTACAAGTTACATAGTGATTGTGAGGTAGATTTAAAAATAGTGTGCTCATGAAGGAGCATCAAAGACTTACCACACCTTCGGAATCAGACGAAGAACTGGAGGCTTGGCTCCCAGTCACCTGCAGTTAACTGCCAAAGGATTTGTCCTCAATAACAAAAAGTGGATTTGCTGCAGCTAACTGAATGACTTAGTCTGTCAAGGTTTTTTAAGTGGATGACCACCTCAGAACAGGATATTGCATTTTACCTGTGCATATGAGTGACTATAAACATGCTGGTGGTGAGACAAATTAAACTTAACATTTTTTTGGTAAAGTCTTATTGTTCATTAACTTTATGATGATATTTTAATAGGGTCTCTGAAAAAAGCTGTATTTGTATGAACAACTCTTCTAAATTCATAGGTCAAATTAGGTTATATGGTCCTTAAGTTAATTGTCCACTATTTTTTCACGATAAATCTAAAGGTAGAGACTCGGTGATGAAAGTGACTTGCAAGGTCATTAAATGAATCATTCATTTAATGCTTAAATTCTACCTATAATATTTCCATCAAGATTTAGCCTTGCCTAAAAATTTCTTGTTCAGGAGACCTTCCAAACTAACAAATGAAATTATAAAAATCTACACATATGTAGAATGTATCAAACTGAATTTATTACTTTATGATGCTCTAAGATTTAGAACTATGAAAGTTATTTCCCTTAAGCTATTTTTGAGAAAAAATTCTTATCTTAAAGATCATTTTAAAACTTTATGGCCTTATTTGTCAGAATTTTATATGCTACATGGTTATTGTGTTTCTAGCTGAGGAATTGAATTTGCATCTATAAACCCAATAACAGAGCTGTTTATTAAACAGGAAGTACAAAGAAAATATGAGTTTATAACAGCAAATGTTATTTTTTATTATTTTAATGCTAAACCTATTTTTCTTATTTACTTTAAAATTTTTGTTTATTTTTATTTATGCTGTTACAGTTGTTTCCACTTTTTCTCCCTTTCCTCACCTCCAGCCAGCCCCACTGTCTCCCCTCGCAACATTGACCCAACATTGTGTTCATGAGTTGTGTACAAATTTTCTTTGGTTAATACCTTCACCATCTTTTATCCCGTTTTGCACATCCACTGCCTCCACCCCATGCCCTGCTCTGCCCTGGCTACTGTCAGTTTGTTTCATGGATCTAAGCTTCAGTTTCTATTTTGAATAATAGCAAATTTTAAATACAGAAGACAAAACAGACATATTTCAACTTATATTTATCTCTAGGTAATTTTGAGATTAGAAAGTAAATAAATATTCACCTAGCACAAAATCCAAGGAAATAAAATCTATAAAAATGTGACGGCAGGAATCATCTGCTAAGGGCTAACAGCAGTTGCTCTCTAACATAAGGCCTTTATAGTTAGGGGTTAACACCCACATTGTGAGGAAAAATGTCTACTAGTTGAAGAGATGATATTGTGTCTGGTAGAAATTTATAAAACCATTTGGATTCTTCAGTCTCACATACAAGAAGAGAATATTCCACCTTTCACAGAATTTTCTGCAGCATAAGAGTTTGGTGTATTCTGAGTGTTGTTTCACAATATGAAGTGGTGACTGAGAGAAGAATTTCAGAGCCTTGCAAAAACAACTTAAGTTTTATCATCAAAGAGAGGAGATACAGATTCAAAAATTTACTCTTAGAATGTCCCATAATAATGATCTATTGTGCCTTTTTGCTTCACCAAAACATAGCTGAATAGTAATTTCTTACCCAGTAAAATTATAGGGAGTAAGGGACAACTTTTGCAAACAGGATTCTGCATTTCTGCTGTTAGGTGTAAAAGTGGATCCATAGCTACATCCCTGGAATGAAAATCCTCAAGAAGTGTGCCTACCCGGTTCCTTAGCCTAAGTCACAGTAGTGTGGTGGCTGCTGCCTTGTCTTACCTTGCTACCTCTGAGCACGCTGAGGAGGAGGCGCAGACAGTAGCTGTCATGAAAGTTCCTCCTCCCAGTGTGTAGCAGCCCTCTGTCCTCCTGGCGTGTCCAAGCTCTTGGGAAACCAAATGAATACTGATCCATGATAAGCATAGGCACTATTGTTCCAGAATTTTGGCTAATTTCCTTGCTACTGACACATCAACTCTAGTTCAATGTAGCTGTCACCAGATAGAGAACATGCTTTGTCGCAGAGCCACCTAGATCTCTTTATTCTTTCTGGAGGACTAAATTCTGAACATGTTTGAAATGGATGTGTGAGTCTTTCTGGAGCTTGTGCTACAATTGAATTGCTAGTTGTATGGTACTTACATCTTCAACTTTGCTGAGTAATAAATTCTACTGTTTATGAAACTATCTCATAAGTTTTTCATTTCTGCTGAATCCACAGTAAAATTCTCTTCTCATTCTTAATATTATTTTTTTATATTTTTCTTTATGAAGATTTTCAGAAATTTGGATCAATTTTTGGCTTTATCTCTCTTTTTCTTTGTTTTCTACTACTTTTAATATCTGCTCTTACTGTAAGTTATTTTATTTCTTCTTTTTACTCTGTTTTTGTTAATTGTGTTGTCTTCTAACTTGTTGCACTTCATGCTTATCTCATATATTTTTAGTACAGTGGACTCTTGAAAATATGAGTTTGAATTGCAGAGGTCCACTTATGCTCACTTTTTTTTCAATAAATATACAGTTGGCTCCTATATCCTGGTTTTTGCATGCATGGATTCAACCAACTGTGGATTGAACACAGTATTTTCCATGTGTAGTTGGGAATCCTGGGAGTCAGGAGGACTACAGAATGTATTTTTTATAGCTTTTTGTATAAGTGACTTGAACAACAGTGGGTTTTAGCATCCATGGGCTCCTGGAACCAATCCCCAGGGGATACCAAGGAATAACTACAGTTAAATTTTGGGAGAGTCAAAACATACACACAAAATATACATGTGAATATTCTACTACCCAAGAGTCAGCATCTCAAACCTCATATTATTCAAGGGTCAACTGTATATTTTTTCAAATATATAATTTAAGTCTACAAATTTTGAAGTACTATACTATTTATTAGTCTATAACTTCTTATCAATCATTTCTAAGAATTTATTAATTTACAAAAATCTATGGTTTTTAAATATTTTATGGCAGATCTGGGATTATTAGTTGTACAGGTGTATGGGTCAAGACAGGTTGTCAGGCAGTAAATAAATGGCACACAGTGAAGCTCCAAAGGCATAACCCTGTGGGCTGCAAAACATACTAGACTGGGTTGAACAGTGGGTGCTCATTGCTGAGAGCACTGATGGTCTTCTGCACTAGTGCATGTTGGCTGAAAGGGAAACAGCTTATATTATCTCCTCTTAGATGAATGCAGATAGTAGTACTAATTGTGGGAGAAACATTTAGCAACAATGCACTTTATTGTCATATCTATTATTTTCTAAAAAATATATACAATTCCTATTTTATATATTGGTATATCCACATATATTAAAAATAGTTCAGAACCAAACAGCCTGAACATAGGGCATTGTCAAACAGAGACACATATATCATTGCATAGAAGTGTTCACCTTTTCTTTTGGTTCTTTTCCTGTGGGCAGATCCTTCAGCTTAATTTCATTGCTTCTGCCCAGTGACAGAAATCAAGGCTTTTCTGGGAGTCTAATCTTGCTGTCACATTGAACCTTATGTTCACCTAAAATTCTGAACCTAGCTTTATCTCTGTAAGTGTCAACTCTTCATAGTAACTAAAAGAGATGCTGTTACTACAGTTTGAAACTCTAACTTAATGAAAGGAAAGGCTCTGGTGCCCAGTCATTACGGCTGTTTCTTTATGCAATGAGAGGTGATATGGCAGTATCAAAAGAGAGCAGCATGGAGAGAATTCTGGTTTTGAATTCTCCTGTCTTGGTCTTCATCTTGGTTCTAGTTCTATCATGTACCTTGCTTAGTCACCCTGAAGACTTTGATTTACTCATATATAAAATTCATTTATTCCACCCACATTCGTAGAATGTTTATTATGTGTAAGATTCTAGAGCACTCTCATAGCTTTAGCTTACATAACCACCAAAGTTCTACCTAAGCAATTAAATTCTACGTTTTTTGTGTGTGTGTGTGAGGAATACAAGTCCCCTTTCCTCTGCTGTGACTCCTCATCATTCCTCATCTCACTCTCTTGAGCTTACCACTCCCAATTGTGGAAGTACATTCAATGCGTCCAGAGGAGTTTCTATAAGGTGTTAACTCTGTTTTATATTTTTAATTTTAAATTATTGAATTACATATGCAATTAAAAATTATGTTGTAAGCTTTTTCCATACAGCATATATATTTAAAGATACCAGCAATCATAAGGTAACAACCC